TAATAATAATCCGTGAGTAATAGCTTTTAAAATCAGAAACATACTTTTTTTTTTTTGTAATTTTTATGATATATTTTTAGTCTGTAGTGTAAGTGTATAATATTGTTATCAAGTATATTATTATTAGCCTTACATTATTATCAAATTATTTTCTTTACAAAAACAAAATGTAGAAAGATACACATATATTCCCCAGGTACCACAGGCGGATCTACGGAGAGGAGGGGGATATTTGGGTCTGAAGCCGTCCCCCCCAAAATGGTAAAATATAACCATGTTTTAAAAAAAAAATATTTAAAAATTATCTCTTAAAGTATTATTGTTCGTTTAATTACATTTAAAATGACTTTAGGAATCGCTTAAACACCATTTCATATAGGTTGTTAGTTTCTTTATTTTTCCACAAAGTATTTATCGTTATTTTTATGAAAAAAAAAAGCTTTCGGGCTGAAGCCCCCCTCAAAATTAAATCCTGAACCCGCTAGTGCCAGGTACCCCTTGCCCAATTTAAGCGATTTCAGAAACATAATATTTAAAAAAATGTGTACATTGATAACATATTAATATTTAGTTTAATTTGTGTGCAAAAGATGATTTTTATTTTTTTAAAACACAATTTAATCATCATTATTTATGGGTGATAAATAGTCAGGAGGCAGTCATTATACAATTTTTTTTTTTTTTACTGGGTCCAGAGTATTTAATATGTAGAACAGTTGACTAGATTCTTTCAATAATTCATTATTATCTATGTAAAAACGTACTGCTCAGTGAGTGATCATTATCTTCAATCGAATCAATAAACATCAAAGATAGATTTAAATTTTTATTTATAAATCAGGCATGATTATTAAATGGTTTTGTGGAAAAAAAAAAAAATTGGCGATTCGAAACCCTGGTTCTTAGAAACCAATTTCTGTGATATGATTCAAGAAAAAAATTTCAACAATTTCATTTGATATACAGGCCTATTTCGAACAGACAAAGAATTAACGTAAATATAAGAATGAAAAAAAAATTGTTAGTTCTTAATACCACAATGATCAATTTGTACAATAGAAATCTGGCTCATAAACAATGGTTCATTATCACCTTTATTTTAAATGTTCCATCTGCAATAATAACTCCGAAGTTGTAGATAATGATAAGATGAATCCATTAACGAAGTTTAATAAGTATGTTAATAATTTATATAAAATTAATTTGTACCACGGACTATTAAATAAATAAATAAATATTTATTTCTAACTATAAATTTTATAATAAATAATACAACGAACAAAGGCTTTTATGTTAAAATAGAGAAAAAAGGAGGAAAACAATTGAGATTATCGCTCGTTACATTATCAACAGTAAAACTCGTTTAGATTATTTGTTATCAGTCTGTAGATTATTTTGTATCAGCCAGTGAAAACAGTAATGATTTAAAAATGTATAAACAATTCAGTGAATCGATTGAATGACGTCGTACATATGTGATAACATTAAAATTTCCTTATAAATTCGAAGTTTATCAGAGCGAAATTACTCGGAAAACATACCGAAATTATGGCATACCAACATTCTTAATACTTAATATATTTTAGTCATTTTGATATATTTTTAAAAAATATATTTATGCCTTCCATTGAAAGAAAAAATCAGTTTTATAAATAAAATGTAAAAATAATTATAAAACATCAGTAGTAAAAATTCAGGTATAATGTACAAACTATATATGACGTACATTGCAGATATTGGGAAAACCAGGAATTTCAGGAAAAAAACAAATTTAATTCAGTATTCTCAAACTTCTCACTAATTCAACTCATTCGTATTCAGTATGAAAATAAAATTTGTAGAGTAGTAGTTCAATGTGAGAAATATTAACTTCAACTATTTTCATTGAATTTTTTAAAGTGAAAATTTCTTTAGGCGCCTTTTTTACTTTTTTTTATGGAGAGTGAGATGGAGCCGTCACATCTCCGATGTGTAACGTTCGGGCAAAGTCGGCTGGAGTTGACTAATTTAAGTGTTTTTGCATATGGATTAAAACATCTCAAAAACTAAAAGTCGGACCAGCATATTTTAAGTGAGGGAATTGTTCAGCTATTCGAGAAGATAGATTTTTGTTTTCATTTTCACATACCTTTCATTTCAAATCTTCACTTTAAGATCATTGCTTTTATTCTTAGAGTCACCTATTTATTTTTCCTATGTATGTGGTATAAAAGGGCAAGTTCCTGAAATTAGTGCTGAGCTCATTAGTGGCTTCGAGAATCCATCTGACCGTTCCTAAACTCACATTTGGATACCTTCGATATATGTTCCTTTTTTCTTCGATTGAACTACCAATGGCTTATAAATTCCACTGGCTTTTGAAGTCCATGGGTCCGCTAGAAATAAATAAATTGTTTTAATTGTTCAATATAATAAAACAATTTATTTATTATATATTAATAAATAAATTGTGTATACATTCATATTTTATATTTTTAACCAAATAAAGTGTTTCTCTCTCTTAACAATTCAGTAGGTGAGTATTTTCGTACATTTTTTTTTCTGATTTTTTTAACCTTCCATGTGTGTTCGATTGGTACTTCCGAATGAATCAGGTCTTTTATAAACTCAGCATAAATTTCTATCCATCTTGGCTGGATTGAATTTATTGATGAAATCCATCGATGGCAATACAGTTTCGGAACTTCTCGAATGATCACAGCTCTAGTACAAATGGCCCTCGAGTATGACATAATGTATAATTTATTAATTGATTTTCAAACTAAATAAAATTTAATGAAAGTAAACATTTTTTATATAAAAGTAAATAATTTAAAATAAAGTAATTTTTTAATTATTAAAGTAAATAAATAAAAATGTTTAATTACTGTAATATATTATACTATAATATTTATGCATATACAGTTATAATTATTCATTCACACTAGCAGATCCAGGATTAATTTTTTTCTAAAGATTTTATATATATATATATATATATATATATATATATATATATATATATTATATATATATATATATATATATATATAATGATTAATACTTCGGAATAAAAATAAACTACCTATGTGAACTGGCGTTTAAGTAATTTTGAAGTTCTATTTAAGAGATAATTTTGTAATACTTTATATATATATAAATATATTTATATTTTTTTTCTCTTGTATAGTATCCCTATACAGGAGGGAGTTTATTTGTAAAAGTTTACGTCACCATGCGGATCCGCATACTATATGTATGAATGTTCTACTTACATTTCATCTATGTAATATATATTATATGAATATTAAACAATGTAAAATAAAAAGTAAAATCTAACCCTATAAACGTAATCAAAAGATTTGAAGAATTATTTATAAATAAACAATTATTAATATTTTAAATATTCGAATTAGAAGTTTTAGAAAGATTTTATGTGAATAAAAACTTTAAAATATTATACAATGTAGTCGATATTTTTGCTGAAATGATATACAATTGTGAATTTAGGTAAATGATAGTGAATACCTTAATCAGGATAAATAATAATTTAAATAAATAAAAATAATTGAATTAATAACATTGTAAGCTAATATGAATAAAAAATACAAAATATAACCATGCTTTTTTTAAATTTTAATTTAACTTAAATTAATTTAGGCGATTGTTCATCGTTCAATTCTGATACAAATTTAAGTTTTATACAATACTATATATATATGCAATAAAAAAAAATCTTACATGTATACAAGTATTGTATCTTTAGTTCTAATTTTTTGTTTCGCTCTTTTTTTTTTCATGTCGTTTTCATTAGAACAAAAAAATTAGAACTAAAGATACAATACTTGTATACATGTAAGATTTTTTTTTATAGCATATATATATAGTATTGTATAAAACTTAAATTTGTATCAGAATTGAACGATGAACAATCGCCTAAATTAATTTAAGTTAAATTAAAATTTAAAAAAAGCATGGTTATATTTTGTATTTTTTATTCATATTAGCTTACAATGTTATTAATTCAATTATTTTTATTTATTTAAATTATTATTTATCCTGATTAAGGTATTCACTATCATTTACCTAAATTCACAATTGTATATCATTTCAGCAAAAATATCGACTACATTGTATAATATTTTAAAGTTTTTATTCACATAAAATCTTTCTAAAACTTCTAATTCGAATATTTAAAATATTAATAATTGTTTATTTATAAATAATTCTTCAAATCTTTTGATTACGTTTATAGGGTTAGATTTTACTTTTTATTTTAGATTGTTTCTCTATGATTTTGTTTTGGAGTGTTGTTTGGATGTGTGTGTGTTGTTTGTTTGGATGTTGTTTTGTTGTGGGAATCATTCACCACCACGTGCATGGCTAGCCCGAGAGTTTTAATTTATGTATTTATTTATTTATTTAATGAATAATTGAAAACAATAGAGATAAAGAGAGAGAAGTGAGAGAAAGGGAAACTAAATGTTAAAGGAAAGAAAAAAAAAAAAGCATAAACAATGAAAGGAAGGAAAAGGGGGAAAAAATGGAAAAAAAAAAATAAATAAAAATGTATATATATATATATATATGCTGTGTGTATAGCAACCCAATATAATTGGGCAGCAATCCTTTATATTTTATATTTTATGAAAATGAAGTTTTTCTCTCTCTGCATACACAAAGCCTGTCTCATTATAATGTGTAATGAAATCAACAGATAAATCAGATAACTAATTCTAAGTCGTCTGATGGAAAACATATAAAAAAATGGTTGTTGACATGGAATTTCTTAATGCAAAATATTTTCAATACAATGTGTTACGATGCTGTTGACACATCGTTACATAGACGGTATTTCACGAAATGATAAGATGTTTCTAGAAATCCCACGTGGTGAAATAAAAAAAAATATAATAAAAAACATAAAAGAGCAAAGATCTGAGATATAGACGCAATTTATTGTCGACGATAAGGCAAACTGGACAGTGGATTAGACTACAGTAGTGCAAAAGCTAATCAACATGTTAGTCAATTATATCGGCTTAGGAGTTCTCCTTATTGTGAGTTTATTTATTTTTTTTTCTATTTTATGTTTAATATTTGACTATTTTCTTTGTAATATAACTGCATATTGCAACAGTTTTCAATAATTTAAAAAAATATGTCAATATTTTGAAAAATTAATTTTTAATAACTTTTTCTATAGCAGAATAGTACATTTAAGGACAACAAATTATAGTGACAAAAAAGCATATTGTATCTTGTATGTATATATCATTAAATTGCATTTTAAACATGTCAACTAATTGAGCAAAAAGCAAAATTGTCTCCCTCTAGCTTCGTTCAATTCTCCTAAATTTAATAAAGGAAAATAAGAAATAGATGACATTAAATGTGAATTAATTAAAAAATTAAAAAAATGGCAAATAATAAGTAATATCTCTAAATTATAAATTGCTAGTATTTTTTTTCTATTTTCTATTTAATATTTGACTATTTTATTTATATTGTATTTATATTTATTTATTTTTCAATAATTTAAAAAAAATTGCGATATATCAAAAATTTAATTTTTTCCTTAGCTGAGCTTAATTTTTTCCATAGCTTCATTCAAATCCCCTAAATTTAATAAAGGAAAATAAAAAATATATGAAATTAAAAAAAAAATAATGAATAAAAGGAAAAATAAAATGAAATAAAAGCAATGCCAAATAATAAGTAATAACTCTTCAAAATAATTTGTGAGCTTTTTTTTTCTATTTTATGTTTAATTTTTAACTGTTTTATTTATAACTGCATATTGTAACAGTTTTTATAATTTAAAAAATATGGCAGCGTTTCAAAAAAATTTTTTTTTTTAATTGCAGGATATTACATTTAAAGACTACAAAATACAGTGACAAACATTTATTTTTAATATTTTTTTCTATAGTAGAATATTGTATCTAAGCAAAACAGATAATAATGACACACATTTAGTTTTAGTAACATTTTCCGTTGCAAAATATAACATTTAAAGACTACAAATTATAGTGACAAAAATTTAATTTTAATAAGTTTTTTCATTCCACAATATTACATTTAAAGACGACAAATTATATCGATATATTTATTCATTCCTATTATATTTAACGAAAAAAAAATATACGTAAAACCAGATAAATTATATTTTATCCTTTTTTTTTTTTTTTGGATGTAAACTTTTAGATACGTTTGTATGAATTTAAACCTAGTTTATCTGAATGAAAAAACATAATAATTGCTTAAAATTGTCTCAAACTCTTTTTTTATATAAAAAATGATTACTTTGAATACATAATTTGCTCATATCGCACAGGGAGAAAGTTTATGAAAATACTCAAATTTTAAAATAAAATTAAAATCAATGTGATTTTATTTTACAGAATTTCACTTAATAAACTCACGACTAATATTGAAGTTTAAATAAACTAATAAAAAGAAACCATAACATAGCTATACTACATACCAACTATTGGAAAACAAAAGAAATATAAAAATATAGGTGGAAGGTATAGCATTGATTTATTTAAAATATCTTATTCATTAATTCAGAGGGTCTAAACGATAATAGAGAGTAAGTTTATTAATATTTTTGTCCATAAAGTGATTATTATTTGAATTAACTAAACGCGTTATACATATATTGTTAGTACACATAGTATGTAATATGCCTATGTCATTATATGCTATTAAAAAAATATCGAATATTTGGACAAAAAGGAAAATTGTAATACTCTAGTGTCATTTGAAAACCCTAAAATTTTTTTAAAAATGAGTAAGTAGAAATATTATTAAAAAAAACAACCAAAAAAGTGTGTTTTTAAATCCTGTGGGTTATTGTGTAGGACATTTTTTTTTTCGACTCTACCCTCTTATGTAGGAAATTATATTTTTATACAAAAAAAAACATCAGAAAATAAGGTAGGTACTTTATACTTTTTTTTATTTTTTTTTATTGAATAATAATACAATCAGCCAGTGTTGGAGGGCTATAAGTATTAAGGCTAGAAGTTCTCATTCATACAGTATATACAAGTAATAAAGAAGTAACTATAAATATAAAAAGTAAATAAATAATACTTATAAAAAATATATAAATTAATCGGAAAAAAATAATAAAATAAAAAAATAAATAAATAAACAAACAAAATAAAATAAAAACTTCTAAACACAAAAAACTTCTAAACACAACTTTATACTAGAAAAATAAATAAATAATAATTATTTTTTAGTGCATTACAATTGATTTATTTTTTTTTTACGTTTTAAAACTCAAGAATTCAGTTTGTTGTGTAATTAGGAAGAGTTAAAGAATCAATGAAGTATAAAATGCTTTAATATTTGCTGTTCGAGGAAACTTTTAGTTTCATAATTTTCAAAAGGCAATAACGCTTTATGAGCTCTAGTGGTTTCTTGCGAGGAAGAAGTTTTAAATTTTTAATTAATGTTACAATCGCGATTCGTCCTACCTGTAACAAAGCTCTAATTTTTTTTTTCTTTAACAACAAAAAGACAATTTTAAAGTAATGAGTGTTGTTTGATTGTTTGACATTAAGTCAGAAAATTACTCCTAAATGATTAGAGAACAAAAGTATAGAAGTTTTAAATAGGCCTACAAACAGAGATTCGTACTTTTTTTTCCATACACCAACTTCTACTTCTCACTCTCTCTCCTCCCCCCTCTCTCTCTCTCTCTCTCTCTTTGTTCTGTAACAAAAGTCCCTAAGAATATCAATATTGTTAATATAAATTAACAATAAATATTTATTATTGGGTATGCGTGTTTTGTGATTTATTCTAATATTTTTTAAGTAAATATATTAAGGGTATATATTTTACATAAAATATATTACATGAATAATTTTTTTTTCTTAATTTCAAGTTCGTGTGTGTATCTGTGTGTCTGTTTATGTTTTTAATGCGAAAAGTGCTGTCCTTTTGAATTTTATCTTTTTTTTTCACTTAAAAAGAAATTGTTATTATTATATTTGAAAATATTGTACATGATTTTTCGATCTTGTGAACTAATATCTCTCTCTTACACAAATCTGACTCATGTACATCTCATCAAGGAGCAGCCACCGCCAAATTGTCAACACTGCAATTGCCCTCTCACTATCAATCATATATTCCAGAAATGCCCTTATTATAGTTCAAGCTTAAATAGATTATCTCTAAAACCGGATATGCCAGTAGCATTAAACAATAACAAATCAAACATAAATAAATGTTCTTAAAATCCATAAGCTATTAAATAAAATATAGAAATAAATATCATATTTTTGTTTTTTTATTTATTCAAATATATTTCATTTTGTAGATGTTTTTATTATTAATTTTCGATTATTCATTGTTTTTCTTGTCTTCTATAGTGTTTATATATATATATATATATATATATATATATATATATATATATATTATATATATATATATATATAATACCTTAAAGCCTTAGCAAACAAAGCTTTTTTTTTTTTTAACTATGCCTCTCTTTATCGGCTTCCAACATCACAGGCAAACTAATATATAAACAAACTAATATCTCCCATTCGTGTACTTTAGTATTTAAAATAATAATAATATGACGCTAATGTTTGTGCAAAACGTCGTATGTTAAAATCGATTTATTTTAAAAGAGAGCATACAAAATGATTATTTCTTTGTGATTTATTTGTATGATTACATATTTTATTTCCCTATGTTACATTCATAGTAGCAGACTACTTATAGCAATTTCAGGCAACAAAACCTTTAACACAAATAGAATAAGTATTAGAAATAATTACATACAACTTTTTTCATGAACAATGTGGTGAACATTTTTCCCTCTAGCAAACAATCTTCTGTGTATTTAAATTTGAGATATATTGATTAATTAAAAATATAATTAAATGATAATAAATATTTCGTATACATGTACGAAACTTTCTAACTATTCGAGTAAAGATAAATGAAAATATGTATTTATTGATTAAACATATGGGTTGCATGTCCAATGTTTCACTATCAGAAAATAATGATATTTGTATAAGTTTATAAACATCATGACCAATGTATGATTTTATTTTTCTCTATTTTAAGGTTGGGCTCTCAGCGATTTGCAGAGCAGGTGTAATACAGGTAAACAATTTGTTTAATATTTAAATATATCATTATACATTTAAAAATTCAATAATTATAACTAGCCTATTTATTATACTTAATCGCTAGTATATATTCATTAATCATACGAGTTACGGAAATGAAATGACCACACTTACTCATTTAACACTTTTTTTGTGGATTACGTAGAAATTATCTTTATTATTATAATGATTCATTGAAAAATTATTATTGATAATTATTCAGGTTATATGTCCATTTTCTGGATGAGTGTTATAATGATTAGTCAAATTCGTATTGAATTTCTTGGAACTAGCCCGTTTCGAAATATCCTAATTTCCCTTCTAAATGAACGAATGCCGTAAAATTGTCGGTTTTGCTCGACATGCGTGGAAACACCGTTTTAATTTGCTACATCCAGCATAAACAATGATCCGTCTAATTTATTTTTGGTCAGTTCGTTCATTGTTATTGTTTATTATTTCCGTTATTTTTCTTTATTATTACACAAACATACCATATATACAATAAAAGAAAAACAAGATTAAAACTAAAGAATAGAAAAGAAAACTTGGAATAACAGAATAAATGAAACATGAGACAACATTAAATAAAAAAAAATAAAATAAAATAAAAACACATTTATACTCATTTACAATATTTACAGAAATATTCTAAAAACATAGTTTATCTTTAAGATTGTTTCGGTTGTAATGGTACATTTTTTTTTTAATTTTCTTTTTCTATGAAATAATTATCACAAAATTTGTAAAACAACAGGAAACGCTTTTATTGTTGTAACAATGCAGAGATTAATAGATACATTTCAAAAATGTACTTACATAAAGTTTACAAAAAAAAAATTAAATTAAAAAAAAATGTTCGTAAATATTTAGTAATTTCAAAGGCTTGTTTAACAGGACCAAGATATTCTTGACATTTTGGGAAGTCCTAGCAAAGAATGCACTGAATGCTCGCCACAAGAAGCAGCAGAAATAGACAAGAATGACAATATACTGGAGGTTTGTGATCATTCCATAGATTTTTGTGTCAATTTTTATTATATATTGAAAAACCATTGATTATAAATTATTATTATAATAATTTAAAATTTTATTTGAATCTCAGGAGCCAGTAAAAGACGAAAGTTTAGATGAGTTAGAAAGTGAGGAAGCAGGTCATCCACGAAGGAAAAGAAGCAGATCGGTAATTAGTAAATTTATTATTTTTTTTTTTACTGAATTTTATCTTTAAAATATTTCATATATGATATATATGGTGTTTAATTCAACTTATAAATAAATTTCAAGGATGAAGTTGAATAATAAAAAAAAAAAAACGGACATAATTTATGATTTAAATATTGGGTTGGAAAATAAGTCCTTTCGGTTTTTCAGAGTGAAATAAAACTCAATGTACTATATACATACAATTTATTTTAATCTACAATATATTGACTATTATTTAATATGACTTTTTTCCATTTTTTCACTAACTGCATGATGCGATGTTCATAGAATCTCTAGAGTTAAAAAAATTGTTTAAAAAAATTATCCAAGTGGTTTTTGATGTCCTCTTCCTTTTGGAATTTCTTCTCATTCATGGAGTCCTGCGGACATCGGAATAAATGGTAGTCACTTGGAGCTAAGTCTGGTGAATAGAGAGGTTGGGCCAAATGGTCCCATCCAAGGCTCAGTAATTTATTGAGAGTGACCAATGAGGTGTGGGACCTAGCTTTGTCTTGATGGAACACAACACCCTTCCGATCATTCATAACTCTTCAGGGTGTTCTTCAATGTTCGATGTTACTGTATCCGTTGGAAAGCTGAATTATTGCTTTCATAGCCGTATGAATAGTTTTTTGATTTATTGCCTACACGAGGAATAAATAAATGAAAACTCCTTACAGGTTTTTATTTTTTATCTCTATTTATAAAAGGTCCTGTTAATGTCATTTTGTGTAATTCATGGAGCCCTAAATTTCTGCTACATTTCTTGTAGCTAAAGTCGTATTGAAGTTTTAATATTTCTTGTGATTAAAAAAAAAAATCATGTGAAGGATCCAAACATTAAGCCTGGAAACGTTGCCGAGCTTGTGCAAATGGTGTTCTACGCTTGTGTGTGACACATTTAGGGCCATAGCAATCTCTCGCACATATTGTGTGGGATGTTTATCAACAGTGGTCTGAGTTGAGCATCATTGATTCCTGAATGAAATTTGGCAAACCAATTTTGACAGGTGCGTTCGCTTAATGCATCACCGTCATGAACACAGCAAATTTTTCTGAGCTCCTGCTTTACTTTTTTAAAAATATTATAACAAAATATGCCGATAATGAATGATATTTACTTCCATATTCACATAAGAGTTAACAGATATAGTTGTTGACCTATTACAAACAGGATGAACTATCCACCTAAGGGATTAATTCATCAGATAAGAAGTGTATCATGGTGACGTAAAAATAGACAGAAGAACCGAAAGGTCTTATTTGCCAACCCAATATATAACTAATATAACTATATCCGCTCAAAATCTCACTTCAAATGTCTCGAACAAAAGGAATTCGACCTGTTTTTCTTGAGAATTAATATATTAACGATGCAACGATTTTCAAGCATCTCGCTGTAAAAAACTAACGTGTATGCTTTAGAATATACGATAGAAATGAAAACAGCAACATGACGGTATAAATAATATGAAAGACAAATTATAAATAATAGCTTGTTATAAAGAGGCTGAAATGCTGAAAATTTTCCTCGCTTACAAAATGCAGATTTATAGTTTCTGAGATATTTTAATCCATAGTTACCACAAAACTCGTTGTAATTTGGATTCGACATTATTTTTCGCCTCTCTAACACGGCATTGAGTTAAGATAAAATTTTAAATAATAGTTCATCATAAAGAGAATGAAATGCTGAACATTTCCCTTGATTATAGTATGCATGTCCAATTTATAGATTCTGATATATTTTAATTCATATAGAAAAACACATGAACTAGTAGGAGGGATGTGATTCACTGCTCAATCTGATTCACCATCTACAAAAACACGCCTTCACAGTTCAAAACGCGCCTAAAGAAGTTTAAAGATAAAATATAAACTACTCTTTCTCTGTTTAAAATTGAAGCATAATTTGCGTTACGTCAACTGTATAAATCAGGGAAAATATAAATATACTAACTTTAATAGCATTACTTAGTAATTATTGAATTAACTGTCTTAAAACTGAAGATTATCTGCCTCGATTTGGGTTTAATTTTTGTGTAAATTGTTTCAGGATTCTGACGACAGCTCCGACAGTAACACGGTTAGTAGTTTTTGATATTATTTTGTAATTATGTAGTATACAATAATAAACAAATATTCGAACCAAAAGTAGGATACATCAGTAGTTTTTTTTTTTAATTTATTTTCTTTGCTCGTTGTCCCTAGTTCGAATCCGGCTGATAACAGGTAAATAAATAATTACCTTTGCTCCAACAGTCGTGGATCGAGCATTAGTTCATGAGATGCTCCTGGGGCACACCCAGTCTCTATAAAGTGGTTACTTCTTCAGTAAATAATTGATTAAGATGAAAATTCTGGTTGTTAAGCATGATCCTTCCACAACTGTTACTCTACAAAGAGTACTTCCTATCAAAATAGTAAACCCTTCATGAGGTGTAGTGGTAAAGGTTATTTTTTTCTTTTTCATTTATCCATTTGTACATTTAATTTAGTTTTTATTATTTAATTATTTTAATTAATTCACGTCTAACATAAATTTACAAAGAGCGTCATTTGGAGGCCCAGGATCCTTAATAATAGGTTATAATGACATAATGACGATCTACTCATTGGTGAATGATTGCTGTTGTACTACTTCTTGTTAATACAAAAGATGCATCTCACGTCCGTTTTCTTTTCGATTTTCTTTTTATCCTTGTGCCATGCTATATTTTATTAGTTTTTGCTGAAATCTTTGAAACATAGCAGCCATCTTTAATATTGTTTAACTAAGGTACTATCGAAGTCCGCTCGTGAAATTTTACTTTTGTTAATGTATCTGTACCTTTAGTTCATCAATTAGATCTCTTAAATCTATACTTTGCAAATCCTTAATTACATATTTTTTAATATATTTTAGAAGTCAGACAGCAGTGACAGCAGTGAAACCAGAGAGAAAAAAGAAAAAAAAGAAAGGGTAATTAATTTTATTAATATAATAGAATAATATACTGGGAGCGGGTATCTCAGTGAGTAAAGCACTGGGTTCATATGTTTGATCTAGGCTGTGACAGATAATTATTTATTTATTTCCATAGACCGTGGATAAACTTAGGGATCGAGAGACCCTCTTAGGGCACACCCAGCATCTATAAAAGGATTACTCTTAATTAAATAATTAACTAAGGGGAAAAACCAGTTCGGGGTGATATCGCCTCGATAATCTCTCTGCATAGTGTTGCCCTATTGCTAGACCAAGACTCGTCTTGATGTTGCGAACTCAGTATTGATCTTGGTCTCAGTTCTTCACAAGTCTTGCAGTTACCAATTGCTATTTATTAAACATGTTACTTTAGATCTTAGAATAACGCAACAGAATAGGTAAATTTAAATGTTTTATTGGCATTAAAATAGTAAAGTCCAACCAAATTAATGAAATTAACTTGGCAATACATTAAAGGCATTGTCAAGAAAGTTAGCGATAAGCCTCCACATTGGAATGGAATATATGTAGAGTTAAAACAATCCATTCAATGTTACAATTTTTCAAAATAAAAAATGGTGGTTTGTCCACTCATATATCTATCATACCAATTTTAAACATATTTTTTATTCAATTTTAAATATGTTTATTAAAAATAACACAATTTAATCCGACTAATTCTCTTGATAACAAATTAGAGAAATCAATACTCTTGATTAAATAAAGCAATGTAAATGGGCAACTGAACAATTGTTAAAATCGGAGTATAAATTCGGATAATTTATAACGTTGCTAAACATTGTCTGATTTAGACGATTTTTTAAAATAATTTTGTCGAAAATTTAATAACCCTTTAAAAAATGTTATACTATCGAGGTAATACTTTTATTTTTTAGAATAGAGAAGGAAACTAAGCCCTGAATGAAAAAGAGGAAGAGTTAAATACAAAATTATATTGGTTCTACCAATTCCTTACATATAATAGCTAAAGTTTTCTAGTATTAGAATCTATTTTTCCTTAAATTTTATTCTTTTTTTAACAAACTTGGTATTGGTCCTGCATAAATCAGGCACACCTGGTCTTGGTCTTGCATAATGCAAGAGTAAAACCGATTTTGGGCAATATTATTTCTGCACAACCGTTGGCCTTGAGTACTTATCTCTAATCTAAGTACTCAGTACTTATTTACGAAGTACTCGACCCAAGACACTCCATGTGTATTTAATAAAATATATAACTGCGATATTGCCAAGATCAAATATGGTGTCTCTTAATCCTTATACATCAAGTGTTACTCTACCCATCCTACATGTGACAGTATTTCTTAGCTTCCTTCCTATACAACACAATCGATTAGAACACAGAGCTCCTCGTCGATGCCAAAAAGCCTGGAATCTTCCGTTCAACACCGTTCCATCAAGATCCGTCCTTCTGACTTCTACCCTCCTCCTCACCGAACTGCTAGATTATCCGAAACCTCTCCTTTTGGACAATCCATTTTAAAGGGATTTCGGACAAGGATAATAAAGATATTTTTTATTCAATTTTAAAAGTATATTCTGATCCAAAAAATAATGGATATTTTCAGTGGGAAGAACAAAAAAAGTCATATAAAATATGTCAATATGGTTCAAAACATATTAAAATATTTTTAATGAAAACTATTAACATTATATTATTATAATTCACACACAATATCAAATAAATAAGTCTAAGTGTCTATCATATTTAAAAATAATTTTTATTATTTATTGAACTTTTCAGGATGAAAAAAGGGGAGACAGTGAAAATTTCTTGTCACAATACAACTTGGTATCCCGAATTGGGAGAAGTGTATAATTAATGTATAAGTATGTGATTAAGAAATATTGTGTATATAATTATATATGTTATAAAATAAGAAATACAAAAAAAAATGTGGATCAGATACTTGTTAATATTTATAATTTAAGACTGGATTATAAAATTTATATATTTATTAATTTTAAATATAAATTAAATACTTAAGTACATTTCATCATATTTTATTTTCTATTTCCTAATGAATCGAATGTCAGAAGAAAGTTAAATTATATTAAACTAAATCAGCTTTACTGGAATTTAAAATACAGCTTTTTATCTATATATTTTTTTTGTAAATTCGTAGAATTCGTTTGATATTTAAAAAAAAATCTAAACCACTAATCAATAATTACGAGACTAAATCAAAGGTCAGGAGTTGCAGTGATATTATCAGATGACAGATGACCTATTTAGAATGTGCGCAATGTTTTACGAAACACTGTTTCTTATAAATTTATCTCTTATTTTTTTTTTCAAAATTATCTTTCATATTTAATTCTCCCACTCACTCTAACTGCCAATATATATATATATAATTTAATGTAGCATCTAAAATATACTAGCTTTATTGATTTTTTTGTATAAGGTTTATCGTGCGAAAAAATCCGTTGATCATGTTAACCTACAACCTTCATAATCTAGAAAAATGCAAAGAAATATTTCGCCAAATAAATCCTAACCGATTTTGTACCATATAAGTAGGGCAGTTTTATGGTCTAGTTTCATCACATCCGATCGTAAGATGTTTCACAGTTGAATTATGCTACAAACTACAAGAAGGAGGAGATTAGACAGGTTTTTTAACCTCTTGTAAATTTACGAAAATCGAATTGAGCGTTATCAGAATTTAAATACAGATTTTTTACTTTATACAATTGTTAATTTTGTTTAAATAATTTTTTAAGTGTCTTGACAAAACTGTACAGGTGAGAAAAAATAGATTTTTTTTTTTTTTTTTTTTTTTTTTGACTTGATTCTTCAACTCACACCTGTCAGAAGTTCCGACAATCAGCGAGTGTGATGTCAAGATGAAGAGATTGGTCTTGGAATAGGCGTGAGGGAGAGGAGTACCCAGCGGCGTCCTTCCTGTCTTGAGCGTAATATTTCTAGTTAGTGGAGGAGATCCCTCATCCAGCTTCTTTTAAGCCTCCTTCGGGTGCTATCGGGCATGTTAGTTGTGGCCATGCCTCGAATCAATGAGTTTGTATGTCCGTGTAAGTTATTATGAAATCGTTTGTAGTATGTTCGTATGTGGTCGTTAACTGTTGGCATCTGTAAGTCTTTATGTAGAGTAATGTTACTGACGTACCAGGGAGCTTTGGTAATAGTCCTGAAAGTTTTAGATTGAAAAGTCTGTAATTTACGTATGTGAGTCTTTTTGGCTGTCCCATATATCTGTAAAGCGTAGGTCCAAATAGGCTTGAGTAGGTAAGTATATGTATTCAATTTCTGTCTAAGTTTTAATTTCGAATTTCTTGCAAGGAGTGAGTACAATAGGCGTAGTCTTAGGTTTAAAGTTTTTGTTTTGTTTTTGATATGTTGGCCCCATGTCATTCTTCTGTCAAAGGTCAGTCCAAGATATTGAACTTTGTCTGTCTGAGGAATTTGGATATTGTCAAGGTAAATAGGGGGGCAAGTTTCACGTCGAAGGGTAAAAGTGATATGTTGTGATTTGTCAAGGTTGAGTCGAATTTTCCAGAGTTTGCACCAGTCGTAGAAATTGTTTAGGTGATATTGTAAAGTCTGTGAGGCGTATGCTGAATTTTGATGTCTTGTCAAGATTGTTGTATCGTCTGCGTAAGTCGCGGTCAGAGTATAGAGAGGATCTGGAATATCATATGTGTAAATAATATACAACAGAGGAGCGAGTACTGACCCCTGAGGCACCCCTGCTAGGGCTGGTTTAATGGTAGATAGTTCTGTACCTTGGCAAACAGAGAAAAATCTGTCAGAAAGAAAAGATTGAAGAATAAGATAGTAGGTTGGAGGGAGTATAGTCTTAAGTTTGAAAAGAAGTCCCTGATGCCAGACTCTATCGAACGCTTGAGCAACATCCAGAAATACTCCTGTTGCATATAATTTGTGCTCTAGTGCTGTCGCAATGTAGTCTGTCACTCGGTGTAGCTGATGAATGGTTGAGTGGTGTGAACGAAATCCAAACTGATGTTCAGGTATTATGTTTTCAGTAGTCAGTATGTCAAGAAGTCGTTTGTAGAGAAGTTTCTCAAAGATTTTAGAGCATAATGGGAGCAAGCTGATGGGTCTGTATGATGAAGGAAAGTCAGTGTTTTTGTTAGGTTTGTGAATCATTTTTATGAATGAGTATTTCCATTGTAAGGGGAATTTAGTCGTTCTGAGTATTGCGTTATAAATTGATGTTAGGTATACTAGAGCTTTCCTTGGCATTTTCTGGAGCACTTGAGCATTTATCAGGTCATGACCGGGAGCTTTCTTTTTAGGTAACTGTCTGATTTGTTCTGCAACTTGAGTGGGAGTGAAGCAAAGTGGAGGTAATGACAGTTGTAAAGGAATGTCTAAAGTGTTTTGTACATGTCTTTCGTGATCAGTATTAGAGAAGTCAGTATGTGGTATGAAAACAGAAGAAAGATGGTTGGCAAAGAGCTCAGATTTTTCAAGGTCTGACACAGCCCAGGAACCATCTACGTTTCGGAGTGGTGATGACACCTCACAATGCTTTACAAGTTTCTTAGTCTGTCTCCATAAGCTTCCATCGTCAGTCGAAAGATTTTTGAGGTAATTGTCGTAGTTCGTTCTTTTAAAATTCTGAATCTGTCGTTTAAGTTCATTGTTAAGTCTATTGAAAGTCCGTTTGTCAGATGGAAGTCGACCAGTCTGCCACACTTTGCGCGCTCTTCTCTTTGCTCTGATCAGGTCTCTAATGTACTGCGGATAGATTGGAAGAGACGTATTTCTGCTAGGTCTTGGTACAGATGATGACCATACAGCCTGTTGTAAGCTGATTGTGAACTTATCAACAGCTTTTTCGAGTTCCTCTTCGGTCTTAAGGGACATTGGGATTGATAGCGTCGAATTTAAGTAGTCGCTGTAAGCTTTCCAATCGATTATCCTATCTGTAAGTGTTGGTTTTTTTGATGCAGTACGAGGCTCATCGCATAGTACCAAACTGAGAAGAGAATGATCAGAACAAAGATCAGAGCTTGCAGTTACAGTATACGGCACTGTCCTGAGTCCTTTAGTAATGAAAAAGTCAAGTAAATCTGGTGTTTTCTGTCTTGAAGTTGGCCAGTAAGTAGGTGTATCAGGTGAGATCGTGTTTAATGAAAGCTGATCGATGGCAGACTTTAGATTTCTTCCTCTAGGAGTACAGAGTCGTGCTCCCCAGGACTGATGTTTGGCATTATAATCACCACCTGCAATAAAACACCGACCGAGATGTTGGAAAAAATTGTAAAACATTGCAGATGTTAGCACGTATCTCGGAGGGCAGTACACTGCAGCGAAGGTAATGGTATGGTGCTGGGTATACAGAGTAATTGCTGTGGATTGTATGTCAGGTGTAATGGGTAATTGTAAAGGGTTGTGTTTTAGTGATTGCTTAATCAGTATTGCCGTACCGCCATGTGCCGTCTTATCAGGGTGGTCAGTTCTATATATTTTGTAGCCTGGAATGTAAAATTTAGAATGTGGAGTCAAGTGTGTTTCAGTGATGAGAGCAATGTCAGTCCGTTTTTCATGTATGTACATGTCAAGTTCAGTCCTGTGTTGGTTTATACCATTTGCGTTCCAGAGAAGAACGGACATGGAGCCCACTGTCAGCCGATTAGTAGCCATAACTGGAGGATAAGGCTTGTGCAACGTGAGACAGTTCTTGGAGAAGGCTGAAAAGAGGCTGGATGAGGTTATTCAATCCACTTACCAAGTTGAAGAGCTGAGCTGAAGCCGGGTGATTGTAAGTCGGTAGTGGCGGTTGAGTAATGCCCTTTTTCATTTCTGGATGCTTTGGCTGGTGAAGGTGATTTTCTGGGACTTCTGTAGGAGAAGTTCGCAGTTTTGGTCCTAGATATTGGAATCGGGTTTTGAAGAACCTGAATTTGCGGTATGCTGACTTTGCGGAAGAGAAGGAAACTCGTCTATACCTGGGGGTGCGCTAGTTTGTGCTTTTTGGGGACTTTGTATATTTTTACGGAGATTGCGTACTTCCCTCAGTTGTTTTAGAGTTGCACAACCTCTATAATTTGCTGGATGGGATCCGCTACAATTCGCGCATGTTGCTGCGGTCTCTCTTGTCTTTGTGCAGACGGTGCTATCATGTCCTTGGCCACATCTCACGCACTTCGGGGAGTGATTGCAGTAAGCCTTTGTGTGGCCATACTGCTGACAACGGGTGCACTGTGGAATCATTCTTTTCTTTCTTGGCTCTTCGATTTTCACTCTAGTATAGTATAAAAATTTGATATCAAAAATTTTTTCATTAAATGTGGCTTTAGAGATATCGATAAAGAACATGGGAAGTGGATTTTTGTATCTGGAAATAACGTTCACAATACTTGTGGCATCGTAGCCTAGGCATTTTAATTCGTATTTTATGGTTTCAATTGGAGTAGCATGGTGTAAGTTTTTTAATACGATTCTTGGATTTCTATCTTCTATTAACTGATAGGTATGGAAATCGGCACCTACCTGTCTTAAGTTAGCTACTATACGTCTATATGTGTCAGAGTTTTCAGGATATACGGTTACTCCTCTTGATGTGGATTTTAGGTTAAAGCTGTTCAAACCTCCTACATTTTGGAGAAATGTGACCAGTTCGGTGTAGTTCTGTACATCATTCAAGTGGATAGGGGGCGGTTTTACAGAAACTGGTTGCTTAGTGGTAGCATCAGACTCGTCACTAATGTTAGTTAAAACTTCAAAACTATTAGTGGTTACTGTTGTAACTTCACTTACCTTTTTAGCTTTTCTTGGGTCTCTGTTATTGTCCATTGAGCGTTTTCTTCCTGTAACGAGTTCCCAAT